AATACTGTTGTAAACTACAAGTTCCAGTTGGCTGGAAGAGGAAGTGGAATGCTGGGAAAGGATATATAAATCAAACCCCGGAGGACGTACTTTATTTTGGAACCACGGGCTGAAGCTGAGAGGAGAGACCCAGCTGCTTGTGAAAGTTTAGAAGGCCACGCGGTCCGGACGGTTTGGAGGACCTTCAGTGGGAGAGTTACATACCTACAAGCAGATCACCGGTCCCAGCTTCCTGTCGGCAGAGTGACTGTCAAGAGTTGGTTAGCAGGATCACCATCGCAGTTACAGCAAGTCCCAGTGTAGTATGGGGCTAGGCCAGACGCCCCTAAGCTGGGTGTAGATTCTGCGGGAGCATTTCCAGGACATCCAGAATCCTATGAGCCACAGTGTCATCAGGATTGGTGAGCGGGCTGAAGCCCACGCGGTATACACTCTTCACTAGTGACACTGCATGCAGGCACCGTTACCATATATCTGACTGTAAATCTGTCACCTTTACTTGGAGTCATTCACCTACATTATCAGGGATTGTTGGTCGCCATTGCACAGCAATCTCTTTGAGCTCTATTTAGCTAGCCAAATATTCAGGACTCATTTCTTCAGGACTCCCTTTCACTACTCTTCAAGCCAAGGACTCTGTGCCTCACATAGGCGCTTATATTGAAGGAGAACGCTATTTAGAATATGTTTATAGCATATATTATAAGTCTAGCCCTCCCACAGAGTGTTGATATTTTTGTACCTGTGGCATCAGGATTCTAAAGGAGCAGTCTGACACTGACGAAAGGTCTTTCTTCTCCCTTTCATACCTGAGGTCAAAGGCTCTCCTTGAGTATATCTGAAATACTGTTGACTTGTTGCGTTCATTACTGCAGGTACCTTTGTGTTTCACTTTGAGATTAGTAATCAGGTTACTGCCTTAAGAAATATTTGCTTTAACTGTCTGCAACTAAAGAACCATCAGTAAATACGCAGTTTTTTTATTGCAATTTGGTTTCTTTGAAATTGTGACTTTTTGTGCATTATGTCTGAACCCAGGGTGTCAGAGGTGTCAGGAGGCAACCTTTGGGGACCATCATCTTACAGCGGCCCTCACAAGGGTAGGGCTACATTTTGGGGCTTGTCTGGGATACCCCTCATGGTTGGCTCTAGCAGGCAGACTGATGAGCCGAGAGACGGAGAGCAGATGGATCCAGCTGCAGCGGTAGCATGGAACCAGGAACAAGGCAGCCAACTGGAGTTGTGTACAGTGGAAGAAATATTTGAAAGTGAATGGGCTACAATGGAGATCTGGAAGCTAGTGATGAGAGCTGTACCAGGGCAAGGGGCTTATCTCATTGACATGAGGGAGGACCAAGTTTTAGTTTAGACTGCACGTATGCCGTGCTAGAGTGGAAAGAGGATATACCAGCTTGCTTCAAGAAGGACGTTGTGAGTTTGGCCAAAGGGGTTGAGGCTCACATAATACCCCTGATGCCTGGAGGAGACCCGATAGATGATCACTCCTGGGACAGAAGAGTAAGCCAGGCATCGGATGAAACTGATGTACCCATGGCCGGTCTGCCCCCTGCCTCCTTTTACACTGATATCGGCAAGCTAGTGAAGAGCTTAGTGAAGAATAAAGCAGCCTCAGTGAATCAGGGATACTGGAAGTTTCGGTTCTTCTAAGGGCAGAGTCCAACCTCTGCTGGCGAAGAAGAGCTGGAAAGCTGGATGGATCAGGTTCTGCAAGCAGTGGAAGACTGGGGTGTCCCAGAGGCAGTAGAGAGACAGAGACTGAGTCAGTGTCCAGCAGCGAAGTAATTCATAGTCTGAGTATGGGGAAACAAGACTGTGTGGCTATGGACTACATTGAAGCCTTGTATGCTGTGTTCAGCAGGGTAGAGAAGCTCCCAAATACAAATTTTAACACACTCATCAATGTAAGGGCGAGAGACTGTCACTAGGGTGGACTAAATCCTACATCAGATTATTCTGAAGAAAGGGATTGATCCCCAAGATGCTGACAAGGTTCACTTGGAACAAATTCTGCAGGATGCTATGCCTAATCACCCAATTGTGCTGATACTGTTAGTCAAGAGGACGCAAGTGGTCCCCACCTATTCTGAGCTGATAAAGGAAGTGAGGGAAGAAGAAGCCTTGCTACCCCAAAAGAATCAAGCATTCAAAGAGCTGCAAAAACCCAATGTCAAGGAAGAGAGTGTCAGCCCGGATGATTCAAGTGGGAGAGGATGTTCCTGCAGATGACAGTGATGCAGAGACTGAGGCGGAGGAATACTCAGATCCTCCCAGTGTCAAGGCAGTTGGCAGGGCAGCCCCAGTTGAACTGCTAACGCAAGTCATTCAGGCCCGAGGTAGAATGCAACAGGCTCTATTACGGGTGATGAAGTCCCAGGCTAAATTGCAAGCAAGTAAGCCTGACCTGAAAAGATGTTTCCACTGTAAAGAACCTTTAAGTGGTAGTAAAGTCTGTTTGTTAACTTGTACCTACAGGTAAGCCTAAAATAAGGCTTATGTGCAGGTACTGTAAATATCTCCTAAACGTGCTTCATTTAGGAGATATTTACCTGTGTAGTGCACTGGTGCATGTGCTCTGAAGGAACGGCATATCCATGGCGTACCTTCAGAGTTGTGTGCTGTAAAGTGATGCCATTGCTGTTCAGCCATTCAAGCCGCCGGAGCCCACAAACCCGGAAGAAGGACCGAGTGAAGATGGAAGCCCTGTCAGTGGTGGCAGCGCCCCGCTGGAAGGCTTCATTTTAAAGTAAGTTTCACATAACATGCTAGTTTGCGATGCATTAATTACACTGTGTACCAAAATCGCATTATTCCCTTACAACACATATCAATTTTAAAGCATCTCCCAAGCAAGTAATTTAAATAATTAGTGTTTTTTCTTGTTGCCTTTAAACTTAAATTAAAAAACCCTCTCCTTATTGTAAGTACTGTACTTAAAAGAAAAAAAAGATTGTAGAATGTCCCCAACAGCAGTGTTTAGCTCTTCGTGCCTTTTTTGTTAATAACTTGCCTATTAGTCTTGAAAATGGATATAATTTAGTATCAATATTTGTCAACACAGACTTCAACGGGATTCACTGCTGAGTTCAGATTTTACACATTTAAGTAGTATATAATGAATCACCTGTGAATAAAACCGAGGCAGGTTCACCCATCCTCGATGATGAATAGCAAAATAGCTGGGCTTCTGAATATGTCGTTTAAAAACTTTTGTTAATATCTGTACAGCTAGCTATTCATGTAGGTCCCAAAATATCTCATATAGATGTTTGCAAGTAGACTGTACAGAAACAATGCTAAATATCAAAACTGATCACACTGTAAGCAGTAAGTTCAATGGTCATAATCAAGCTGAACTTCAAGGAAACTGGAAGACTAGCTCTACAGAATTATGAAGGAGGACAAACAGTAATTGTAGAAAAAACTGTGTATTTAGTTGTATGCCTTATGTTTCACTTCCATTGGCTGCTGTTATCAATGTGTTTCTGTACAAAACATATTTTTTATGAAGAAGGGTATTATTTAGGACAGTGTTTCTAAACCTGTGGAACCTCAGGACCCACATTTGTCCTGTTTTGGGGTGAATCAATGGAGGAGGCTGTGGACAGAGAGATGTGAGCCAAAGATGGAAGAGGAGCTGGAACACAGGCACTGGGCAGCACTTCTGAGAGTTGAAGCAGACTCTGTATGTGGAAGAGAATAAAACAGAAAGGCACTTCTAAGTGCCGTATATACAGATAAACTTTAATGACAACAGTTAGAAACACTTACAAAGTCGCAGTTAAAGCAGGCTCTGTATCAGGGGCGGACTGACAACTCATGGGGCCCCTGGGCAATTGGGGATCATGGGGCCCCTGTGTCCTTGCCCACACTCAAAACACACCCAAAAAAAGCCTATAAAAGGTACCAGGGACATTTTATGGGGCCCCCTACTGACCCCGGGCCCTCGGGCAGTGCCCGAGTGCTCGAATGGTCAGTCCGCCCCGCTCTGTATAATCCGTCAGGATGTGGGGGCTCTATCCACCATGCAAGAACCCACTGTGCTGACCAGCAGCTGCAGGGGGAGCTGAAGATGGGATGTCCAAGATGGGCGCTGCAAGTTCTAGGGTCGCTGGAACGCACGCTGGAGCGCACACTGTGCAAGAGACCGCAACCGGAAGTGACATGGACGTGGAACAGTGACACGTTTCGGAGCATGCACACGGCTCCTTCTTCAAGACCAATATTTGTCCTTGGTCATTCAGTCATGGCCCAAAAATAATTTAATTTCCAAAACAGTATAATGTATTCCACAAAACAACCTGTGCAGTATGCTACAATGTATATGCACTTTATAAATAGTAAACAAACAGCTTTCTTCCATTGTATATATATACAATTTTGATGCATTTACTTTTTTTTGTGCTAAATTATGTAATTTTAACTACTTGCCTACTGGTCACTTTTGCCCCCTTACTGCCCAGGCCTATTTTCAGCTTTCAGCACTGTCACACTTTGAATGACAATTGTGCAGTCATGCAACACTGTACCCAAACAAAATTTTTAGAATTTTTTTGAGACAGATAGAGATTTCTTTTGGTGGCATTTAATCACCACTGGTTTTTTTTTTTTTTTTGCTAAACAAACTAAAAAAGACTTAAAGTTAAAGTTTCCTTAGTTTCTGTTATAAAATTTTGGAAATAAGTATTTGTTCTCCTTTACTGATGTGCGCTAATGAGGCTGCAGTGATGGGCACTGATAGGTTGCACTATTGGGCACTGATAGGCAGCATTGATGAGGAGGCACTGATAGGCAGCACTGATGGGCATTGACAGGCATCACCGATGGGCACTGATAGACAGCACTCATATATGGCACTGATAGGCGGCACTGATGGGCACTGATAGGCAGTACTGACTGCCACTGATAGGCGGCACTGATTGGAACTGTTAGGCGGCAGTGATGAACACTGATAGGCGGGAATGACTGGCACTGATAGGTGGCACTGACTGTCACTGATAGACAGCACTGATGGGCACTGATAGGCAGCACTGACTGGCACTGATAGTTGGCACTGAAAGGCAGCTCTGATGGGCACTGATATGTGGCATTGATGTGCACTGATATGTGGCATTGATGTGCACTGATCGGCACTGGTATGTGGCATTGATGGACACTGACGGGTGGCAATTATGGGCACTGACAAGCGGCACTGATGTGGCTACACTGATAATCAGGGTACTGATGATCAGTGTACATGTTCCCTCTGAGGAATACTGCTTACCTGCTCTCTTCTCACGTGCTGACAGCGCACTGCCGATCGCCGTGCCGCATGCCCCTCGGGGGCACACAGTTAGAATGGGAGGACATCATATGATGTCCTCCCAGAACAAGAGAACGGCCTCCCATCCATTATTTCCTTATATGGCCGGCGGGAGGCGGTTAAACAAAAAGCTAAGAGTGTTCACCAGGTTACACAGGTAGCATATGATGTGCACAAGTAGTCACAGACACTTAGCAGCATATGTTGTACATCACTGTTATGAGGGGGTTAAAATGGACTGACTGGCAACTTTTACCTGGGGGGGAGTACTACACATAGGCCAATGGTGCAGCAACTCTTCCCCCCCCCCCCCTTCCCATTGAAATAAAATGGCAGGAAATTACATAAGAAAACACTTTTTTAGACGTTTAAAATAAATAATAATTATAAGCATACATAAAATAACAAAAATCCACCAATACCCCCTAATTTTAAGCATTGTCCCCTCACACTAATCGCCCATTAAGCTGAGCAATGCCTCCTCTACTTCTCACTCTCTCAAAGGCACACTAAGTTAAGAGTATTAATGTCTTTAGTGGTTTTTTAAATAAACAAAACATTTGTGCAATATTTTGTGTGAGGGATTTCAGTCCCTTCTGTTTCATGCCCTCCTTCAATCCCCCCATCCATGGCCTACTTTAGCCCACCCTTTCATACCCCCCTTCCTTTCATCTTTTATGCTTTTCCTTATCCCCTTTCATACCCTCCTTTAACCCCTTGGTTAACCCCACTTTGTTCACACAACTAGAGCTTTCTTTTGGTGGTATTCAATCATCAATGGGGTTTTTATTTTTTGCTAAATTAACAAAAAAAGACAGAAAATTTTGAAATAAAAAACCCATGTTTCTTTGTTTCTGTTATAAAAGTTTGCAACTAAATAATTGTTCTTCATAAATTTAGGCCAATATGTATTCTGCTCCATTTCTTTGGTGAAAATAACCCAAATCAGTGTTTATGATTTAGTTTGTAGGAAAGTTATAGAGTTCACAAACTATGGTATATATCTGAAAATTGACCAATCCTGAAGTACTGACGGCCAATCTACATTTTTGACGCCCATAAATGTCAGAACAGTACAGATATCCCCCAGATGACCCCTTTTTGCAAAGTAGACAGTCCGACGTATTTCATAAGAGGCATGGTGAGTTTTTAATGTTGTAATTTTTTTGGGCATAATTTTTTGGAAAATGAATAAATTAAAACAATTATTTTCACAATTATTTTTTTACATACTGTCACCAGTGCAGTATGGCAGTGATCAGGGACACTGACTGGTGACAGTACGAAAAAAAAATTGATAATTTTTTTCATTTTTTTTTATTATTATTTTTTTTTTCATTAAATTTTTTTCTTTTTTTTTAAGATGTTTTTTTCCATTTTACACTATGACCAAAGTAGTATAATGTAACCATAGTAACATTGTACTACTTTGGGGAAGTGATCAGTATTTTTTTTATTTTACACAATTTGCTAATAGCAAAGAATTTCAAAGAATTAGCAAAGATTGTAAGCTCCTCGAGGGTTAGGTGAATGTACAATATATATATGCAAAGTGCTGCATAAATTGACAGCGCTATATACAGTAAGCACCTCTAATAGATAATAAATAAATGTATGAGATGATAAATAAATGAGATGACAAATCCAATAACAATCTGCTGTACAGTTCCTGAAGAGGAAGTATAATGGTCATATTAGAACTGTATTTTATTGGACTGTTGTTAATAAAATGTCTAAAGCAGTAGCGGACTGACAACTCATGAGGCCCCCAGGCAATAGGGGATCATGGGGCCCCTGTGTCCTTGCCCAAACTCAAAAAAGCCTATGAAAAAGGTACCAGGGGCATCTCATGGGGCCCCCTACTGACTCCGGGCCCTCGGGCAGTGCTCGAGTTTCCAAATGGTCAGTCCTCCCCTGCTCTAAAGTATCACCTTTTTTATTACCGTATTTGCCGGCGTATAAGACGACCCCCTACTTTTCCTGTTAAAATATAGGGTTTGAGCTATACTCGCCGTATAAGACTACCCCTCTTCCAACGCGCCCCATCATTGGTGTCAGTGGGGAGGAGGAATAGTGCCCCATCATTGGTGTCAGTGGGGAGGAGGAATAGTGCCCCATCATTGGTGTCAGTGGGGAGGAGGAATAGTGCCCCATCGTTGGTGTCAGTGGGGAGGAGGAATAGTGCCCCATCGTTGGTGTCAGTGGGGGAGGAATAGTGCCCCATCATTGGTGTCAGTGGGGGAGGAATAGTGCCCCATCATTGGTATCAGTGGGGAGAAAAGTGCCCCATCATTGGTGTCAGTGGGGGAGGAATAGTGCCCCATCGTTGGTGTCAGTGGGGAGGAGGAATAGTGCCCCATCGTTGGTGTCAGTGGGGGAGGAACAGTACCTCATCGTTGGTCTCAGTATGGAGGAGGAATAGTGCCCCATCGTTAGTGTCAGTGGGGGAGAGGAGCGGCTGCTCCTTCTTTCAGTTCGGCCGCTTGATTTTCGCGGGGCCGTTCGGCTCCGCCTCCTCGCCGGTGATTGGTCGCCTGTGTGCCTTTCCAGTGCTGGCGCCCAATCACCGGTGAGGAGGCGGAGCCGAGCGGGCGGCGGGACCATCGAGTGGCCGAACTGAAAGAAGGAGAGGCCGCGCTTCCTGGACCGGATCGTCGTGGGACCGGGACCGGAGCCAGGTAAGGTACAGCAGCCCCTCTGCCCACCCCTGTACTTGGTGTCCGTTGGAGGAGGAAGGGGGGCGGCGCCGCCCCTCGAAAAAGTGCCGCCCTGACACTGGCTCGCCGTATACCGGCGTATAAGACGACCCCCAACTTTTCAAAAGATTTTCACGGGTTGAAAAGTCGTCTTATACGCCGGCAAATACGGTAAATGTCTCTGTGGAGTGTTGCTAATGCACCTTTATTCAGAACCCCAACTGGAATTATCCTGCAGGGAAAGGTATGTACTTCATTACTAACTACATTGTTCTTATACACAGGTATTCTATATGGGTGGTGGCAGTAGTGCCTTGGAGCACGCAAGAACAGCAGTGAAACAGTGGGCACAAACTATGAGGTCTCCTGAAAAAGGTGATGTGTTTGCTTAAGTCAGTATTTCAGAACATGCTTTTATATGAGATTTATCATGGCCATGTAGTCCTGCCTGGATCGCTGTTGGCAAATGCATTGAAATGAGACTTTCTGACAGATTTTCATTATGAAGTCATGTGCAGAAACACAATAAAGGAAACTATTCACGGCATGTCATTTACTTATGAGTTGAATACGTGGGCTAAGAGAGTGTAGAGTGTAACAGTGCTGAGTGGCTAAGTACAATCTAAATCATTATTTAAATCATACCAGATATGAAGGAAAAACTCAAGTAATATAAAAATGTTTAAAGAGGATATTTCCAAGAGCAGAATTTTATCTTATAAGTCACAGGCTATGTCTGGATATTCATAAATGTCACAAACCTCTTTTAGGATCATGTGACATTAATGCACCATCCTTCAGCATCAGGCCCCGACTGGGACATAAAATAGGCCTGGATATTTTAGACTGAGCAGCCAAGGAAGGGGGGTGGGATGGGGGGTGGGCATTCGTGGGGATGGTTGGTGATTCAAAGAGCTGGTCAACCGCACTGTAATGTAAAGGGGACTGCACAGTAAAGGGGCACTCTCTTTAATCAGAGTACCCCCTTTTACTCTCTGCCTCCCCTGCACAGTCCTACTTAGGGCAGAAGCAGAATTCAGCCCGTGTGTTCTCTCCAGGGTCTCCCTCCCTGACAACAATGTCATCCTATCAGCAAATCAGGGGTCAGGAGGAGCTGCAGATCTGGATCATAATAACACGTGAGTGATTATCCCCGTGCTAATATGAAAAGACTCCCATTCTCTATGCAGGTCTCCAACTCCTCCTGCCTCCTGGTCTGCTGATAGGATGATATTGCTGGTGGGGAGGGAGAGCCAGGAGAGGAGACACACAGGGCAGCAACAGAAATTTTGGGGCCCCTTGCACAGCTTTAGACCTGCCTCCCCCCAGGCCTGACCACCAATATTCCCCAGGGCCCACCCACTGGCCAGTCCACCAAATACACCCAATAGCCATTCCACTGTGTCCTTCAGTGCACCCACTTTTATTTTAACACTTTACAATTAAATATATGAAAATAAAAAGTGTATTCCAAGTCATCAATGCTTTTAAGATTTAACAGTAAGGAATTACAGTATATTTTGGCCAAAGAGCAGCAAAGAGACATCCCCATATATTCGACACCCCCCCCCCCCCCCAATCCAGCAAAGAGACATTCCCACCAAGCAAAGAGACATCCCAGTCCAGCAAAGAGATGTCCCAACCCAGCAAAGAGACAACTCCACATAGCAAAGAGACAGCCCAATCCAACAAAGAGACAGCCCAATCCAGTAAAGAGGCAGCTGTAACACACACTGGATCATTGCAGGGTTCAATGCGCTTACCTTCCTCCCCTGTACAGCTGTCATGGTGTGCCGGTTAGTGTTGGGTGAGAGCCTGCCATGGTCCCTTCAATGCAGTGTATTTCCAGTGGCCGACTCAGGAGGTATGTGTCCCCTGCTGGCGCCCTTCTTCTGCGCCTCCTAGCTTTATGGTGCTGATCCTCCTGTAGGCATAGCCACATAGCGGGAGACGAGTGGTAGCCATGGTCTGCATAAGCAGCACTGTCCCGCCGCTTCTCCTGCTTAGGACACACTCTTCTTGGACACCCAGCGGCCCCAGACCACCGGGCAATTGATCAGTGTGTCCTATGGCCAGTCCTGGCCTGTTCAGCATAATTACTGCTAAGTGAGACCATGTAGCTGTTTAAACCTGTTTAGGGTTTGTATTTATTATTACACTGCTTCATCATAACTCCTTTCTGCCCAGGCCAATTTTCAGCTTTCAGTGCTGTTGCACTTTGAATGACAATTGAGCAGTCATGCAACGCTGTAACCAAACTAATTTTTTGTCATTTTGTTAACACAAATAGAGCTT